CCCCCCCCCCCCCCCCCCCCCCCCCCCCCCCCCCCCCCTCCCTCCAGCAGGACGACGGGGGCCGCTCTGCTGCAGTTTGCTCGCCATGGCTGCTTGTCTCAGCCTCTTTGTCACCTCCATCAGGCCTGCCGGCAACTACTTTCTGCTGACTGTCGGGCCCGGGCTGCCACTGCTTTTACAGCTTCGTAAGGCACAGCTCCAAGCCCCAGCTACAGCCAACCTCTCAGCAAACCTGAAAGTTTTTGCTATAGATCGGAGCCACGCGACTGGATAGATTTCAGTGGCATCTGGGTAGGAACCAGTCTGTGCTATAGACCAGATGGATGCTAAACATGACCCGAATCTTTATTTATATGTGTAAATCTTTTTATTTCTAACAGAATTTCTTACAAATAACCAAGAGCTTTACATACATCAGCAGCCGAAAAAACAAGAAAAGCTGCAAAGCGATATGATTGGGCAGTTTATCCGCTCATCCATAAAATATCAGAAACAGAAAAAAAAAAAAAAAAATTTCTCAGAGCACAAGGTGACATGCTGAAATGGATTTTTTTTTTTTTTTCTTGCCTCCTGCATTTCTCACTTCAATAGAGATTCCTTTCCAGTCGGCTTGTCAGTTTTCATCAGATAACATGGACATTGCGTACTTCGACCCCCGTCGGTGAGCCGGAGTCGGACCTCCAAATGCACTTTCTGTACAGTAGGAGAAGACTCCGGCCTCCAATCAGGCTGTCTGCATGCCACATTGAGCGTCTGGCTGTAATTATGTGTGCGGTAATAACGCGCGGGCGGCGGGGCCTGCTGCTCTGACTGCGGGGTGCTCCATCATCCGCCGTTGTCTTCCGGCTCGGCTTGGAAAAAAGAAACTCAGACGTGATGACTCATAAACTGGTCTTTCAAGGCGCTAGTCTGTACCTCTGATTCATTCTGATCCTGGAGGGAGTCTGGAGTGAGAGGCGGCGCGCATATGCCGGCGTGCGCGGTGACAGACGCACGCAGAAAGGCTCACGCACGCGCCTGAAACGGGCTCTGTGAGTGAAGGATGAAGGGTGGATTGAACGGGGCGGCCTAGTTCAGGGTAATGTGCTACTGCCCCCTGGTGGTGAGTGTGGGAACACTAACTGGCAGCTCCTCTCCCAGCATGTCAGGGCTTGTGGGATGGCCATACTTGCTGTTCTGTCAATAGAAAGAACTGACAAAAGCATTCAGATGAAGCGTAGAAGCCAGACGCTGAAATAGCAGCTAACGGGGGAGGGAAAAGTGGAAAGAATTTTTGCTGATGTTTTTCTCTGTCCTTGGCAGAAGAGGATGGACCCTCTCTACGCCCAGATCAACAAAGGGAAGAAATAAAGAGAAAACACAAGAAGACAGAGCAGACCAGCACTGAGAGAACGGGAGGAGAACCCTTTACCTCTGAGAGTGTGTGTGTGTGTGTGTGTGTGTGTGTGTGTTAGTGTGCGTGCATGTCTGGCACGTCAGTGCCTAGTCAAGCCCTTCTCTTTCTCTTCCTGCTAACAACCTCCCAGGAGGAGCCTCAACACACCCACAATCCTCCTCCTCCTCCTCCTCCTCCTCCTCTCCGCAGTCTTTGCTCCTCCTGAGAGGAGAGAGCCATCTCGGTCTTTCACTCCAGCCAGGAGGGATTTCGACCGCTGAGACTAATCCAGCCCTCCATCCACGGCACCGTCTTCTCTCCCCTCCTCTCCTCTTTCCTCCTCTCACACCCAGCCTTACAGACACCACACGCTCCCCTCTCTTCTCTCCCCTCCCTCCTCTTTCCTCCCGCGTCTGGCCAGAGACTCTGCTACCAAGAAGGGACTGAGTCAAGCAGTGCCTCCCTGTCTCTGACACACACACACACACACACTCATCGTTCGGACGGGCAGACTCTGCGTTTGTAGCCCGGATATCCCCAGAGGAGGAGCCAAACTCTTTTAAAAGAGCCTATCAGGGAAGGCTCGGCGCCGGGTTTATGCGGCTCCAGATTGGTGGCCAGATCCAGGCGTTTTTTCTCCCCCCCCCCCCCTCATGTTAGTGAGTGTCTGCTGGATCTCTATGCAGAAACAGACTCTCTGGGAGCTACTCACACTACAGTACACCAGTCCATCCAGCTTGCCCACACACACACACACACGCACACGCGCAGAGTCCCCCCATGTATCGTACACACACACCCGGTCATTTTGCCAAACGTGGACGCGCAGACACACTCGCACAGAGGCCGGAGGACCGGACACGCCGAGGGACACGGAGGGGAACGGTTCAAGTTCAACAGAGTCTGCGACCGAACTGTTCATTCTCAATAGCTTTTGTACAATAACGGTTTAGAAAGAAAAAAAAAAAAAAAAAAAGAACAAAACGAGATCAAATCGAGAAATTTAATTTTTATTTTCTAAGTCAATCAAGCCGCTGGGGTCAGCTCTGTAGGAACTATAGAGTCAACATGGCTTTAAGGCATCTGATTGTTGATTTGCCAAATTCATTTTGTAAATAATGATTAAAAAAAACAACAACCATTTGGTCCACCGGACTTCTGCGCCATAAAATTGGAAGGCTTCAGTTATGCAAACTCAGCATTATCCCAAGCAATAGCAACAGGTGTTTTCTTCTCCCTGGTTCGGGTGTTTTGTTTGCTCCCTCTCTTCCCCTCCGATGCTTGTTTTTTTTTTTTTTTTGTGCATGAATGCTGGAGGTCTCCTCTATTGGCCTCCCACATCCACCTCGGCCCCGGCACTTTGTCTCCTAGATCCCCACACATGACTTTTATGTCCCGAGTAAACGGGACTCCCTGGTTTATGTCACCTTATATCCCTTTGCTACACGGCTTTTTTTAAAGACGCCAACACAATCATTTGAATTTGGCGGCCCGGTCTGACGGCCGTAGCAAGGGCTGCTGACCCCCCCCCTTAACTCCCTATTTTATGGCCAGAGTCCTCATGTTACCCAAGAACTCTTTTGGACTACGATGTTGATTAACGTAATAACTTTGACACTTAGAAAAACGAGCAAAGAAAGACGAATAAAAAGGGAAACGTTGCTGTTTGAGTACATAACATTTCTAGACCTATTTTAACTTTACCTCAGCTAACAGTTTCTTAATGTAAATTGACACATTATTTTTATCTTTATGAATATGACATTCTACAGTGGGTTTTTAGATGATTTTTTCTTTTGGTTCTCTCTTGATTTACGTATTCCACCATGTATTACCTGTTACAAATAAACACAGCCCAAATGATTAATCCGTCTGCCAGCGCCTTAATCTTTGAGCGAGAGCAGGAGTGAGTGAGGCTAATGGCGTGTGCCTGGCAGGGGTGACCTCGCGGTTTCTTTAGTTAGCGCAAAGCAAGTGGCACAGTGTTAACGTTGTAATTCAACACTGCTTTAATGGCCTGTCACGTTCGGCTGCACAGGCCGCCTCTAATACCAGCTGTCATAAGCTTTATTAGCAGGCAACCAAAACACGAAGGCAAAGCGTTTCTCACAAGTCACAGGCAAGACATTAGGACTGCTTTAATGAGCTTTTTTTTTCTCCATTCCCTCCTCAACTCTGCTCCGTTAGCCCTGCTGCCTTCCTGTGAGGGATGTCGGGGGACATCCCAAAACCTTTCTTTCCGCGTCCACCGCCTTATTTATTTTCCACGTCAAGACTCTGTTTCAGGGGCTCTGGGGAGGATTTAGCCCTCCATCAGACCCGTTGACACTGATTTTAAGTTTGGTTCAGGTGTGGCATAGCTCAGCCTTTTCTCTCCGTTTCCATTCTTAACGATGGCTGTGCAGGCAGCCGTCTTTCCACTGAGATGAGCTCCACAGAAGAAGCTCCACTCAGCTCCTGTCTCTGGCCTTGCTGGATTTTTTTGTTTGTTTCTGAAGAACGTGCCTGGCGGATGCTTTTGTATTCGCCCTCCTTATGGCAACCCTTTAGTACAATACTGTTTCAATGTTTGAGATACTCATCTGTAATGTTTTTACTACCCACAAATAATGTCATGAACTAAGCTTTTTTACTGTGAGTAATCACTTGGATGGGGCAAATCCTGGAATGGGGCCCTCCGAACAGCGATTGGCCCCCTGAAACGCCCCTGTCCAGTCAAAGCTGATTTGACTCTTCAGAATAAATAAAGTTGCAAACTACATAGATACCACTCCACTAATGTTGCGAGACACTTAGAAAATGTATATTTAAACAAGAAGGAGATAATCCTGAAAGAAAGAACAATGTGCTAATGATTTTAGAGTAGATGACAGCTTGTTTATCTCAGTGTAGCCGGTAAAGGGATGAATAGTTAACTAAAACCTGTCCTTGTGAATTCTTCTTGGCTCAGTGATGACATAACTCACATAAAAGACTATTGCACAGTTCAAATGTGATGTGGACTTGTGGAATAATATGACCTGCTAATTCTAATTCTTTCCTGAATTATTGATTTAAAAAAAAAAGGAAAAAAACTGTTTTGGTTGCTCTATAATCCACAACATTCTCTTTCAGCATTCTCCATTTTTTTTTTGTTTTTTTGTGAGATTCAGTTTGTCAGACCCAAGAATGTCACAGGAGATGGTGGGGCCTCAGAAAGTACGCACGTACTCAGGTTGGCAGTAAGTCTTCCAAAACTCCAACTGATGTATTTATGTCATATTACAAATGCTTTCCTAAGTACTTCTGTATTCTGTGCATCAGACCTGGAATGTTGACCGACTTCTTTTTTCCTCGTTTCGGTTCTCGAGGTCACACGCAAAACAGTGCTGATCTTCTCAAACCAGCGACTTTTCACTATTTATTTTAGAGATGATCAATATGTTCTCCCCTTATATGACAAACTGGGAGGGAGAGACTTTAGAAAAGACTTTAAAACAGACGCGTTAGGGACCGGGGGTTCGGTGTGCGTGAGTCAGTGCGCACACCCGCTGCCCGCCGGGCGGCATTCCTCATCCAGGAGATGCTCAGCCGAAGCCAAACTAGTCTGACAAGCCGGGCAGTTTCTTTTCCCCTTTTTTTTTAACAATGACAGTTAGTATTCCAGCTCGTCTTCAGTGCCTGACTGAAACCGCCCGCTGCGCGTGGGGACGCACACCTATCCGGATCACCGGACGCACAAACCGTGTTGGGATATACTGTCTGTTCTGAGAGTAGTTTTTTTTTCATCCATGGCGTTTTTTGTCACCGCACACAGAATGAGAGGCTGAACAAAACCAGCTTTCAGTTCACCCAGGGTTTTTTTCGTTTGGCTGGATATTGAAACTCGCCATGGAACAGGTATGTGCCTTCTATCTCTGCCCCTCAGATCGTCCTGATACTGTGCTTTGGTTCTAAGATAGTACGAGTTGTTTTTGTTAAAATGCCTCCTACTTTTTGGTTTGTGAATGTCACTCAACAGAGAAATTTAATCAACGTAGACAATCAGGTCAACACGTTGAACAAGAAGGGTGAGCGCACATTGAACAGACATCTAGAAAAATTGGATTCAAATCAGACTGATCATTTTAGATCTAAACTGAAAGAGTTCTCTGACCAACTTGAAAAGACCTGATCAAACTAATACATTTAAAAGATCTCACCCAGTTCGTTTTTTTCTGTCACAATACATTTAATCGCAGTTTAAATGCGACTATGTTTCAATTTCTTTGTTATTTTGGAAGGAGAATAGGATTTTAGTATATAAATGCATATGATGGGATATCTGTGTGAATGTGAGCCAGACTGACCAGAAAATATAGGAATAACTGATGTGAACACATTTTCCGTAAATATCCTTGGATATAAGTGAAGTTTGGTAAAGGTCTTATTTCTGGATCAGCACAGGAAAATAAAAGTTTGAGAGGATTATCTTTTTTAACGAAGATGTCTTTGTCATTTTTTTTCCAACGTTGTGGAAGACGCTGGAATTCTCCTGTGCTGTAACAGCTTAAGTATTTGTTGGTGGGATTCCACCTGTTCTGACAGGTGTGGAAGTATGTGTGACCACTAGAGCCATTCCCGCTTTAGAGGCCTCACATTCTGAGAGGTGACCGTTCAGGTTTGTGCCTGACCCGGCTGCTGACCTCAGACCAATGCATTGTGTGATGCTGCTTTCTGCAGGAGGGCATTTTGGACTTCCAAGCCTTAAGGGCCAAGTTCCAGGAGGAGGAACTCCCCATGAAGCAACCCAGAAGCAAACCTGCTCTCCGGGAGAAACCCAAGGTGGTCCCCCCGCCCCAGAGCCCCACTCACTACCTCCCCGCGGGGGCGCGCCCCTCCCTGCTCACCTCCATCAGCCAGACCTTAGAGGGGGGGGCAGGGATTGCCCCCCGGGTGGTTTTTAAAGACGACAAGAGTAAAAATCCTCTGATCAAGGCTAACTCAAAAGCGAAGGAGAAAAGTGAGGAGAAGATGAAGGACAGTAAAGACAAGACGGCAAAACGAGCCGAAGAGAAGCGGAATGAGAATTCTCCAGAGCAGAAGGGGAAGAAAGAGAACGGTAAGGACAAGAAATTTCCATTTGTCATGTCTCAGAAGGAGAGTACGGCAGAGCTGGTGCCGGCGACCCCCCCACCGAAAGCCACCACGCAAAAGAAGAAGGGTTTCCTTGGTTTCAAGAAGTCCACAAAGAAAGAATCGGCAGCAGCCCCTGCTGACCCGATACTGGACACTCCCAGCCTGGACGCCTCTGGAACAGCTCCACTAATCCCAGTACCCACTGGCCTGGATAAACTTCTACTAGAGCCCCAAATCTCAGCAGCACCACCACCAGAAGCGATCCTGCCTGAGAAAATCCCCCCGCCCGACCCCGGCGTCGTCGTGGAAACCATCCCGTCGTCCCCCATCCCTGAGCCTCCTGCGTTTTCTCCGCCTCCTCCCGTTTTCTCCGACATCCCCGCTCTCCAAGTCCCGACCCCACGGAGCGAAACCCCAGAGACCGAGACCCCCCCGGACACGGAGGTTTCCGCCCTGCAGGTTTCCAGACCGGCCAGCCAGAGCGAAACCCCCCCGGTCAGTCCCGCCACCATCCCAGACCCCCCTCCAGCCGACCCCGCCCCGATCCCCGCCCTCCTGGAACCTGAAGTTTCACCAGAAGCCGCTGCAGAGGTGGAGGAGGAGGAGCCCCCCCCTGTTGTCATAAACCCCCAGTCTGTGCCCTCCCCCAAAGCCGAGCGCCCCATTTCCGCCCTGTCTGCCCTGGAGAGGGCTGCAGACATGAGCCCCGGGAAAAAGGCGTCCGGTGGAGACCTGAGGATTCTGAGCGCTCTGGAGAAGGCCCGCAAGAAGAGCTCCAGGTAAACAACACACACACACACACACACACACACACACACACAACGCAACACACGGTTTCACTCGGTGGGTTTTACCGTGGAGTAATGCCCTATCTGCTCTCAGCCCTTTGTCACACCCCAGCCGGTCCCACTCCATCAGCCCCCCGCCCGAAGATCTTCGGCTTTCTCCGAGTCCCACCGCTGCCGTCCCAGAGCTGCCACCCATCGATTATGAAGGGGGGGCTCGGAGGGCCCTCCCACCAACACCGGAAGCACAAGTTAACGGGATCAACCACGGTAAGGGCTCTCTAAGTCCAGGGCTTATCTCACCATGGGGGGGTAAGCAGGTATGGCGAGGGGCGGGGCACCGTTTGTCAGAGAGGGGGTTTCAGGGTTTGCCCCTTAAAGGGTTATGTAAGGTTAACACTTCCGGTTCTCATCAGGTGCCTGTTGGAGGCAGAACGCTGTAAAAGTAGGAACACAGGCCGCAGTGTTTCCATTCCTGTGTGCCAGGAACACGCAGACAGCCGCCCAGGCACGCCAGCCATGACAGGGACAGTGACTCACGGCTCACGCTGAGCAGAGCCAGTAGCTCAGACTGCTGAGAGTTTATGTCGTTCATGCAGAGAGTGGAGCTTTTTATTTATCCTAAAGTTATCTTGTCAGGTCACAGTACATGCGCGAGGAATTTAAAACAAAGCCTAAATATTGGTAAAAAGAGAGGAGATAAGAGATGAATTATATTGCGATAAAATAACAGCAAAACCAAAAACGTTTCCTCATGCGTTGGTGCTTCTTTTTAAAACAAACAACAGAATAAAAGTGCAGACACATAACAAGGAAGACCAGGACATATTTGAGTTATAGAGAACAGCTTTCACGATGTGCTTAACTGGTTTGGTTTCCTCCCAAATGAAATCCTTGCACCTTACTTGGCTTCTGTCAAGATCTCTGCCTTCAGCGTTCAGGTGTCTGTGTGACCCCCCTCCCCCCCTCTACTCCTCGTCCTCCCCTGGTTTGTGTAAAATGAACACGCCCTTCCCACTTTAAATGTGAGCCATGTGAACATTTGCAGGAGCAGGCTCTCCGGAGCTGAGGGGCACGGCTGAGGAGGGGATTGATGCTGTCCCGGAGCTGCTCAATGTCCCACCCCCTCCACCCAGACAGCCCCCGCCACAACCGGCTTTGGATCTTTCTCCAGAATCACCTGACAGCCCCCCCGCCGACGCCCTGAGTGAATTTATTCCTCCTACCCTGATTCTCGGAGGTAACGGCGTGGCCATGGCTTCTTCCACTCTTCTTCTTCACTGAGATGACGGTTTCTTTAATGTTCCTGTTGTTCGTTCGGTCCGCAGACATCCCCGTTCCTCCTGAGTTCTCAGAGTCCGACGCCTTAGATGTCCCGGCTACGCTGGAGTTTGATGACGTGGCCTCAGATGCAGGCGGTCCAGAGCTGCCCGAGTCCGAGTGGAGGAACGAGGAATACACGGCTCCGGATGTTCCAGACGGACACGACCTGCCGGTGTTTTATAGTAATGGCATAACAGATGAAGGAGCTGAGCTCCACCTCCAACCGACATATGGAGATGAATACCAGCACGCTTCACTCCCAGAATCCCCCCTCCCCATCGCTCAAGACTCCCCACCAGTGGAGGAGTAAGATACTTAAGTCCACTTAATCTGTCTTTACTTTGAAATGCTTGTCCCATAGTTTGGGGTTTTTTTATGACAGTTTTTTTCTCCCATGCAGGCCTAAAGCAGAAGATCCTTACAGTCTGCAGGACAGCGTGGACAATACACTCAACGGCGTCTCCCCGTCTCCCAACAAAAAGAAGGGCAAGAAAAACAGTGGCAAGAAACGCAAAGGAACCCCAAAGAGTAAGAGCCGGCTCCTGTCAGAGCACAAGCTTCCTTTACTGGGTTCACTTCAGAAAAGCATTTGTACAGTTGCTTTTTTCATGGGAGTGGAAGAAATATTCATTCATTTGTCCTTAAAAGAAAAGTTAACTTCAACAGCACACTGTCTGAGAAAACCCGGTCTTTAATAGGGGAAAAGAGGGGGAGGGCTTAACCAATACAGGGACAAATATTTCTATTATTTCATGATGGAATTCACCAATATAAAATGTAATAAATAAAAGTGATCATAATAGCATTGGAATTTGAATGTATTTGGTTCATAGTATCATGTAATAAGATTAAGGAAAATATGTATTTAAAGAATCCAAAGATACTGCTACTGTCTCCGAACTGAGATGGACTAACTAAACATTTTAGAATAATAGTTTTTATAAAACTCACAGAAAGTCCAAAGGCACACTTAACCCTGAATGGATCTGTCTGGAGTGTTTAATGCATCCTTTAAAGGAAACAGGCAGAGGAGAGCCCATGTGTTGGCTATCAGGAGTCCCACTGCTTCCTCTGCTTTACAGTGTTTCTGTTTTTCTCCACAGATCCATATGCTGAGGCCCCACAAGAAACAGTAAGTGGCTTTTGGAGATTTTCCAACCCTTGTGAAATTAAAAGCTCTTTCTTTGGCCTCATAACAAGCCTATATGTTGTTTTGAATGCCGTTTTAAACCATCTCTGTTGGTATTTCTAGGTGCAAGAGAAATCTAAGACAATCAGATTTGGCAGGTAAGGTACCTTTGTCACCCTTTGCTGTTTAGAATTTCTGCAGAAATAACTTTTAATAAAGTTGTTGACATCTCTTTTTGTCCCCCACAGAAGTGAGAAGAAAGCCACCACGGAGGGGCTAGACGACAAAGAGCAGAAAAAGAAAGAGAAGCAACAGAAGAAGGAGCAGAAGGAGAGGCAGGAGCGAGAGAAGAAAGAGCAGAAAGAGAAAGAAAAGAGGGAGAACGAGCTCAAGAAGAAATTCAAAGTGAGTGTTGTTGTTTTAACACAAAAGTGAGGTATGGGAGGTGATTGGGCATGAGAGGAGGGTGGGAATTATGTATATGCATACGGACCGGTCTGGACTCATTCCTCACATGGAAGAGCTGCGAGAATGGAATCTCTGTAAACAGTTGTTTCATCACAGTATTTTTCTAAGACTTCTCAGAAGAGAGTTTTCAATATATCCTTTTCCAATTAAACAGTAGAAAAAAAACGAGTTGAAGCGAGCCATCTGTGGTCCACATGTCCTCTGGCCTCTGCTCGTATGGTGCTGTTGAACAAATGAGCTCATTCCTCCTCATGTGTACCACTTGTTTAGTCAGATACTGGTTCTGATGAAATTCAGCCATCATTTCCAGTTAGGTCATTGGTTGGAGCCACTCACAGTTTTCAGCCCAGACTTCGTTTCGACCCGTTTGCTGCCTGGCATAATAGCAGATCATGTCACTGTGTGTGTATCAACACTGTGCCAAGCTAACCAGGCCAGGTATTGATTGATGCACGCTAGGGTTCAAATCTGACGTCCAGAATGTGGAATATGGGCAGTTTGCTGAAAACCTTTTCTGAAATAAAAGGTCCTCGAGTTATGCCGCTGAGGTATTTTTTCCAGTTGTGGTGGGAATTTTGTGATTTCATTTGTAAAGTGGCCTGAAGTCCACCCTCATGTCAGATGCAGACGTGCTGTAACCCGCTGTCTGCCTCAGGTCACAGGTCAGGAGGAGGCCATGTACCAGGCCACCGTCACGGTGACGCCGAAGGCACGCAAAAACGATTTGCCCATCAAGACCGGAGATGTCATCAGTATCATTCGCACAACCAACTGTCCCAAAGGGAAGTGGCTGGCCCGGGACAGCAGCAGCAACTGTAAGTTCCATCATACAAAAAAGCGAGAACGTGAATGAGGAACACTCTAAAAGTGTACTACGTAGTAATGCTGCGTGTGTGCTCCAGATGGCTATGTCGCTGTGGATCACGTGGAGCTGGACATCAAGGAGATGATGGAGCTGGGGAAGAAAACCGCCCGCAAGAGCAGCTCCAAGATCATCGAGGCAGACGTGGCTAGCACAGGGAGCAGGTGGGCGTCGCGAGGAAAAAACGAGACACAGACGCTCTCAAGAAATTAGAGTTACTGTTAAAGGGTTGACTTCTTTCTTTAAAAAATGTTTTTGTTTTTGTCCTCAGGGCCTCAAACCACTTTCCCCAGTCGACAGAAAGCTGTAAGTGTGTCCCGACAGTCACGATGATGTTGTGTATCTAACTATTCAGCAGTAGTTTAACGCCGCCTTTTTGCGGTCAGTCACAGATGACAGCGAGGAGTGGACCTGTGACGACGACGAACCGGTCTCGCCTGCCCCCGAAACCCCAGAGCCATTCAGCGCCGCGTAAGGAACCGCCTACCCCCATGTGCACATTTCCATTACTCCCAGTTAAGAGCTCTACCAGTATCTCTAACCCTGACTTCTTTACCTCTGCAGGAATCACAACAGGACTCTCTCTATGCCAGATATGGGTAAGGTGTTAAGTGAGGCTGTCTACTGGCTTAGACTCTTATTATTTTTCACCTGTCAGTAAATCATAAGCTATGCCGACACATGCATTTCTGTTTTCCTTCTTCATGGCTTATCTTTTATGGTGTGCAGGTACAATATTCTCAGCTACTTGGAGCATGTAGATTTTTTTACAGATTAGTTATCCACATCGTAGATAAGGTCCTTCTTTAAAATCAAAACATGCATCCATTCACAAAGTCATTCACATTGGCTTTTAGATAGAGAGATGGCTGAAAGGTTTGATGTTTTTTACCAATTGTGGTGTCAAAAGGTTCTATTGCTCTACGTCAAATGAGTTTTTCATTGAAGAACTGACAACATCCACTGTTCCATCTTGTTCCACGGTTCAGATGTGTTCTGCTGTGGCAATATTTTCAATTCCCAGAACCGGCTTCCAAACCAAAGCGAGGGCACAAACTAAAGGAGGTCTGTTTCATCTAAACATGACAGATCGTGATGAGATGATACGCCAGTGTTATTTTTGTCATGCACTGCTACTTCACCTGAAGCCGTGTGCAGGATGTGATTCAAATCTATGTTTCCATGACAACAAATTACCTGCCATGTGAATAAATGAATGAGGTTGTTTGAAATTAATCAGAGAAGCACGCCGAATTCAAAAATTTGTGTTATTTGGGTCAAATTGGTTTTTATCATCAGAGTAGTATGAAAATGAATTATTGTAGCCTTGGAAAACCCCAGATCCTGGATACATTTTTAATAACTAATCAATTAGTCATTCATTTTCCATGAGACCCTCTGGGCATGAAGCAAGACACAGCCTGGACAAGGTCACCTGTCCTTAGGAGAGCAAACACAGTCAGCTCACTCAGTCTGGAATCACCAGAACCTGCTTGGTTTTGACCGTGCAAACCACACAACAAACAAAAGTTCAATGTCATTTTAGATTTTTTTTTTTTTTTAATTCGGTGTGAGGAAAAAAAGTTGAATGAGTTTAAGGTTTTTCTGACGTGATAAAAAAAAATCCCTGGTGTTACCGTGGGACATTCATTCTAACTGATCATTTATTCTCAGGAAACAAAGAGCTTCCCATCAACCACCAGCACAGTCACAGCGACGACCCTGATGGCACCCACGTCCAGTCAGTCCCCCCGCCTCCACCCTTCCACTCACACGCACAAACCAGTGAGGTGGAAACTTAAAAACAACGTGTGCTTGTTTTCCTTTTTAGAGCGCGACACGAAGCACTTCAGAAGCTGGCCACGTTTTTCCATTCACCAGTACCTGTGAAAGCACCTGCCAGGTAGGTGATCTGCAGCCGTCTGTTCTGCTCTCCGCACACTGGCCCGGACTTTTTGTTTTAACCGGCGCCTTTCTTTCTCTCTCTCTCGTTCGACAGCCACGTCGAAGCAGAGACAAGTAAGTGATCTCCGAACAACCCCCTGCAAAGCAGGCTGTGTGTTTACTGAATGCCACTCGTAACCATGTCCTTTCTGGTTCCGCTGCAGCCCCGGCGCCGCCCACAGAGGAAGCAGAGCATGAGTAAGTAGAGAAAAAACAAAAACACACACACACACAGAAAAATGCTAAACATTTTGCCAGGCATGTGGACCAACCGGTTTCCTGGGATGGTTGGTTGCTCCTGAAAAGGATGAATGCGTTACGCAAAAGTTTGAGAGAAAGTGAATCGAGCTGGAAATCTACCCCCGGCCCATAAGGAAGCTGGGCAGCATTTTGACCCACACTGACCGTCACACTCAGGAGGAGGCGGGGTGGCCGGGCCGGTGAGATCGTGTCATGGGTGACGGAGGACTGCTGACTCACTCTTTGTCTCTCTGCCTGTGTTTTCTCTCCCAGGCGTGAGGATCCTCAGACACAGGAAACAGATTTTGATCCCTCTACTCTGATTCTGCCTCCGCCGGACCTGTACGCCGACCTGACGCTGGAATGAAGATTGAGAGGGTGAATGGTCTAGACTTCCCCGTGTGCGTGCCGCGTCTCAGCGCCAGCCAAACCCATCGACCGTGTGGAACAGGATCGTGGGTGAAGTCATTCTTCCCCGTGTGATCTGTCTCAGTCACCTGACGCCGGGACAAAAATCCATGTGGCTTTCTCGACTTTAACCTCGCCCACCCTGACTGTATTTAATCATCGGTTGGATGACTCTCTGCGCCGTTTTGATATAAAGTCTCATGTTCTTTGGAGCCTTTTTGGGTGAAACCTCTTGGGAAATGGAAAAACTGGCAGCACAGACTGACTTTGAATTTGACTTTGGAGATGAACTGCTGACCCCTGAGGGAGAAGACTTAAAAATCAATGCACGCCTGCACAGGCTTGATTCTTCTATTGGGCCATTATATGTGGCTTGTTTTGCAAATGAGAAGACGACGATGGAAGGAGAGGGATTTGCAACAGTGTTCATCTTTTCAGGATGAGACACAGCTCATCGGGATCCTCGCCTAAACAACAATCAATTGTGGCCACCTAAAAAGCATCATGGTGAATAAAACTAATGACGTCAGCGATAAGAAGAAAAAAAGTCAAAAGACTCTTATTACCTGCTTTCAAGACCTGCTTATTATTCAGAACCTGACAATGGTCAGTTGGATTTCTAAGTATTTTCTATACCTTTTATAAAACAAGATTTTAAAAAAAAAAAGAAAAAAAGTTTCAATGTTTAACTTGTGTTGCTGATGCCCACTGTGGATTGTAGAGGAGTGTGTGTGTAACTGCTCTTGGTGATATGTAAATGAGCTGTGACCTTTAAAAGATAAGACTATCCTTACTTATAGACCAAAGGCTTATAGTGGAACGCTGAATGTTATTCAAAATGCTCCGGCTGTTTGCTCAAAGTTCCACCCGTCGGCGGGAAATGTCATCCCTCCTCTTTTGCTTTGATTTCTGTGCTCCTGCGGGTGTCACCGCCAGCTTTAAGCCCCGGAATGATGTTACGGCTTCAGACTGGTGAAAAGCAGACGAATGACAAAACAAACTGTCTCTGTTTCGTGTTTGTTTAATTTTTTTCAATAAATACTCATTAAAGTGCAAATCATAACAGCAATATCATGCAGTGCATAATGAGAGAAACCCAAACCCCGGTGAGTGAGAGGGGGCTGGGCAGAGAGACGGCTCCAACACACACACACAAACATCCTTTAAACATGTTCACGGTAAACAGTGTGCACACACACACAGTTATCAAACACACACACACACACGACATAGATTGGGGCATTTAAGGTCACGCTATTAATAAGAGCCCCGTAACAGTTGAACAGAGAGCACAGCTTTGCTGTGGAAAACACTCACTTTGGTAAAACACAGGAAGCCTCGTGCTTCATCAGGCCTGCTGGCGTGCTGTTCGGCGCCAAGTAAAGATTTTTCCTTTTCAAGACTAACTTTCCACTGGAGGTTGCATACAGCTGTAACGACGGAGTGCTACGCCTGACAGAAGCTCTGGTCCTGTCAGAGAAGTTTTTAAGCGTGAGCCTTTGACACCAGGCACCAGGCATGGACTCGGAAGGTAACGGACGCGGCCATTTAGGACACGGAAACAAAGAGTAATGAGGATGCCCTTAAAGAGTCCGGCTTAAAGTCTATGCTCGTGTGTGTGCTGCAGCGGGGAAGGCAGTGCAGGTGTAAAAATCTATTCTATGATAAAGGGTTTCAGGAGAGTAACAAAAAAAAGTGGCTTTACTGCTTCAACTCAAAGACGTCACAATCTGCTCATAAGGCAAAAGCAGCTGGGAGTGGACATCATAGGGGTCAGCGGGTCACAGAGCGGCCTGTTAACGTTATCGGGTTCATTTGATTGGAGCTTTTAAGCCCATTGTCGGTGTTTCCAAAAGTGGCATCACATTAAAGACACCGCTAAGTGGTTTAGGGCTGACTTTAGCTGTTCAACCTTAACATATGTCCCTGTTAAACCTTTAACCATAGAATCAGACCAAAACCCAATCTTTATGTCACATAAACCCAGATTTTATCCTTTTTATTTGCTGTCATGATACCCCTGCTCTAACCACGTCAGCCAATCACAGACCCCCAAGTTAGGATTTAACAACGATGGACAAAACACGTTACGGTTAAGTTCAGGATCATTCCGTTTTTTAGGAGGGGTGGGGGGGGGGGTTATATCAGAACGGATTTGTGAATGGCTTTTGCGTTATTCGGTACAGATCTGAGCCACCGGTGGACAGAAGTATGACCGCTCAGACCTCTGTAGCTGTACGGCCAAAAGCAGAGAGGCAACAAACCAACCCCACAGCCCATCAGACCAGCACCAATTTGCCTCAACAGCTATAAAAGGGTTTAAAAAATAAAACACAGCTAAGCAAAACTGACCACGTCAGACCGCTTTCCACATTCTACTGCTTCTCTGACTTCCCAGGCACTAAAAAAACCCAAACGCAGCCACCTAAAATGATCAACACCACGACAACCACGTGATAGACTCGACCGGCCGGATCGCCGCAGCGCACACCTGCTGACAAACGCACATCTGTGAGCTGCCCGCGTTGCATTGCTTAAGGCAACTGGAGCAGGTTTTTCTGCGACCGACACACCGTCTCACAGGTCGCTGACTTCTACCAGCACCACCCAAATCCTCCTACTCATTACAGAATAAATCGAATATAATATAATACAGATTTTTCAGTTTTTTTCTAACATGCAAAGATTAATGTCGAGACTTGCGGGCTCCGGCTCCATTAATGACTTGACATTTGCTGCTTTGAAAGGCTCCTGCTGCGTCCCCAGTGATCTGTTGTCATTCAGCTAACTGCATACTTGACTGATTGTCTGTCCTGATGTTACATATCTGCTCTGCTTGCTCGTCAAAATTACATTCTGTTCGGGTGGCACTGACAAGCTGAGCGACAGCAGCGTTATTAGTAGCTCTGTGTGAACTGCATATTTCAAATGGCAGACGGATGAACGCTCATGGGCTTAGAGAAATAAAAACACCGAAAAACAGAACGGTGCTATAAGAGAAGTCCAGGTGAGCTGGTGTGCATCAGTCTTCAAAACCTAACTAAGTCAGTCTCATGCAGAGCATTCCATTATCCTGCTGTCTCTCATGGTTAATCATCTACAGTCTCTTTTAAAACGAGGTTAAAACTCTTATGTAGTGTTAAAAGAATAGAGCTATAACTACAAAAAATAAATATGGATCTAATACCTAAATAATAATACTCTTTACGATGTATAAAGTCTTATTTGGTATTTCTTTGCCATCCTTCTCGGCTACGCAATATGATTGTAATATAAATATACATGGATAAGAAACGCTTCCTTACAAACCATAGAAAACCTGAAATAGAATTCAACAAGTAATAGAGTCTCCTCGATGCCCCCTTCACATGTTCGAAGACCTCTGCTCAGCGTCTAAGGCAAACTCAGCAGGATATCCCTCCAGTATGTGTCATGGTGGCTGATGAGGTTCAGCAGCTGATAAAAGATTGAGGGTACCTTTGGGAGGAAGGAGGGTGAAGCGACTTTTGCTCACGCCTACACCGTGCTAGTCTGTCACATCCTAATTTGCCGGCTTCCACTGGTTCGTCGTCCGGTCCCAGGGTTGGTTTTAACAAGCGCGGGCCGAATGTTTGATTGCTGAGACTTTTGACTCTATGGCTGCGTCGAAACAATAAAAAAAGAAGTGGTTAACCCGGCATCATTCCCTCTTTCCCTCTCCTTCCTCTAAGCTCAACCCCACTCAGGTGTTGCTTTTCAGATTTCCCCGTCAGAGGAGAACAGATGGAGAGGAGACAGAAAGAGAAAGTCAGTCCAAACATCTACATCCCCGACATCCCAGGCCGTCGGCCATCTTAAAAACCCCGCTGACAGCCAGGTCGCAGGAGCCACGGGCCTCAGCGGGCCAGCGTGGTTATCAGGCTGGCACACATCTCAAAGAAGTCCATGGTGTGGGATCCTTGGCGTGGGCTGAGCTGAGGGGAGCTGCCGGACAGCGACCCGGGGAGGGAGGAGCTGAGCTGGGGCAGGTCGATGGCTGGGCTCGCAGAGTCGATGCTGAGCCGGGGTCTGTGCAGGCCGGCCGTGGAGCCTGACCTCTGCGGAGTGGACGACCCAGATTTAAAGCCTACGGCCTCGATGATGTCATCTAAGGGTAGGCAGCACAGCGGCGTCAGAATCTATCAGAGCGAAGTAACCTGTTTTGTGCTGCTATGTTTGTTATTTTACAAGAACTGCAACGCAGTCCAAAAAATCTGCTATGGAAAGGTTCAGCCTTAAAACAGTTCCACCATACGTCTATTAGATTAGTTCCTGTTTTATTCAGTTAAAATGAGATCTTTAAGCTGAATGTGACATGAAGGTTTTTATGAGAGGCGCATTTGTTCCAGCTTGAAAGGCAAGTATGAAAAGGCTGAACGTCTCCCTCTCTGCTTGAAACACAGAGAGGGAGACATCACTGTCTGCATTTGTTAGAGGTGCTAAACTGAACAATGTCAAACATAGAATTAATCTTAAATGGAATAAAAAACTTGAGGAAGTATATAAAAAATAAATATATTTAAAAAAATAAAGATATATATATATACATACTCATAAAAAAGTGCAGTCATCCACCTGTTTATACAGGTTAAAAGCAACCTCTTTAAAACTCATAAGGTTTCTTTTAATAAAATTCAAATATTTTTTCAGCTCCCTGTCATCACCCTAAACTTTTCAGGTTCTATGTATAGAACATAAAACTTGATGCTAAATATCTCAGTCTTATAAATATGAATCTAAAATCAACATGTTAAAAACCTTAGTGTTGCTCTTTTGGCAGCAACTCTGTGACAAAACATCTAAAAAATCAGAAACCTTTCGGTCCTCACTAACCGTCGATGCTCTTAAAGTCGAGGAGGTAGGATCTGTTGTCCACTTGGTAGAGCTGCAGGCTCATTTTCACCAGGTTTCCTGTCACCGGATTCTTCCTCCGCACGCGCAGATGGTACGGGTTCACCACCTGCGGAACAACAGGCGGGGAAGTGGACCTGCGTGCACGCCGGAAAAACCTCTGGGTGTTGGACTTACTGCGTTACCTTCCAGTCAAAGCTGAGCTGTCTCATGGCTCTGTACACCTCGGCCATGATGTCATAGGGCCTGCTCTGACTCCTGATGCCCAGGTGCCACTTGGCTTTCTTCACTGCCAGCGGTTTGGGTCGGGTGGTGTTGAGAGCGTCCAATGGACAACGAGATTTGGGGCTGTCAGCTAAGAGCGGAGGCATCCTTTCAGGGTGGGGTTTGACCCCCGGGGGCAGCGGCATGCCCTCCTCTATAAAAGAGCCCTGTGGAGGACTGGATGCCAAGTAGAACTCGCTGGCCTGGGTCATTATCCTGCGGTTATCTATGATGAGGTGATAGGCTACTGCTAGCTGATCCTGCATGGAAGACAAGGATAAGATTAGGACAGTAAGAGGAGGGTGACTCATCATTACGCAGACATACACAGATCTGGCATCGTGTGGAAGCTTGATTTTCACAGCGAGTGGGTACCTGAGGATCGCCACTGTAAAGGCTGGACACAACTTCCGACTCAGTGCATTCAAACTTTTCACACACTTCCTTGACAGCCTCTTCATCCAGGACGGTGGAGTCATATGACGGGTCCTCTGGGAACAGGTAGCCAGATAAGTCCTGCTTGAACCACTCATGCTCCCTAAAGAAAAAGGACAAAGTCAATAAGCCAATCAGTGTAATCCAAAACTATAAATGACCCACACACCCGAGGTTAGGGTTCAAACATGCTACCTTTGAACCTGAGAAAGTAGAAATATATACCAGATTTGTACTGATTAAGAAAAAAAAATTATGGGATGTTGTACTGAGGCAGGTTTAATCTACAGAAACGTTAAAAGTCAGCTCTAAACCAACAGCAACATGGCAAGTAGTTAAGCATCTAAAAACAAAGTTTCACATGCTCAAGATTGAAAAGGAAAGCAGAGGTCAGCTAAAGGATTACACCGATTTCCCAGAGGAAAGTCTGACAAACAAGGATTACCAGCTTTTCCACCTCTGACTGCTACAATGAGCAGGACTGACAAAAACACCCACAGACACTGCCTTATAAAACATAAAAAGCTTGGTGTCTGTGTAACATTTCGAGTAGTTAACACGGTGGCGGATGTCTCTGCCAGCAGGAGGGGAACAAAAGATCAGATGGTGGCTTTACCCAAAACCCTTTAAAATGATCAAACTGGTTTGTTGAGGACCATTTTAAAGCTTTAACTACCATTGAGGTGCATAAATTCTCAGAGAGCCGGGAGCAGACTGAGCACCTGATGTCTTTGATGGTTGCTCTCTTAAGAGGATCCACCTGCAGCATGAGCATTAGCAGCGAGGCCACAGAGCGGGTCAGGTACTCCGGGATGTAAAAGACACCTCCTCTGATCTTCTTAAACAGCGTGGGAACATGCTCATCATCAAAGGGCAGAGTGCCACACAGCAAGGCGTACAGGATCACCCCGCAGCTCCAGATGTCGACCTCTGGGCCTGCGTACAGTCTGAAAGAGACACGAAAAGCACGATTGGTGGATAAAGACACTCCTCTGCAACCGATCAGATAGATCCTGTGTACACACTGCAATGAACGAATAGGAAAAAATATATATGTTATTAATATGGTGTTTAATTTTTCCATGAATTTTTTCTCTACACAGGTGCCCACTAACCACATCAGTGACACTTTTTCCGGCCAGCGCCATTAATACTGATCAAAATCATCCTAAAAACACAGATTGGAACTGAAACAATCAGGTGATTTAATGATTATCTTATAGAGAAGAATAATCAGCCACCATTCCAATGATCATTGTACGACACAAGGCTTTTAAAGGAGCCAACTTGTAAATTGGTTAGGGCTTTTATATTCTAAAAAAGAAAACTTTTGGATGAATAACTGCACAGCAAATAATCATCAGATGACCACACACACCTTCCTGAGATGACCTCTGGTGCTGCATAGTTGGGTGAGCCGCAGCTCGTCCGCAGAAACTCCCCGTCTGACATCATGTTTGACAGTCCTGTTGGCCAATCACAAGGCACATTACCATCCATCTGCCTTTACTCTGACAGACCAAAGAGAGTCCTGTGTGGCCGTTCTATTGCTTTTGGCCCTTTAATACAGACGGGTTGGAGTGAAAACTGGCAGGCGGCGCAGGCCGAGTAATACACCGCTGAGATCTTTATCCTCCTTTAACCGCCAAGACTCTAAGCTCCAAACACAAAGCTCGTCTAATTGGATGAGCCCGTCTCTGTCTGCCAGCGCCTGTGCCAAACACTAAACATCAGACACTCTGCGATTTGCTGACCTTCACTTTATCTTTTGTCCCTGCTCCCTGAGCACTCCCTCTCTTGGCTCACCAGTGTCTTTTTTGCTCTCAGCCAAAACACTCCTCCCGCCCGACACCCCTGCCACACCCCCCTCGATTCTTTCCCTATCAGATGACACTGGGCCTCAAGGCTTCCTGCCAGTCTTGATATGAGACCTGGCTGTTGCTAGGGGATGTCTCCCCACCCCTCACGCCCCTGCTGTGAAAAAGGGCCCTCGTGTGTTTCTGAAAACATTTCACATTGCCTCGGAAAGTTGCCTTAAGCAATGCCAGAGCCGGCGGGAGGCGGCCTCCACTGACATAGCTGTGTTCATGTAATTAAGTTACAAGCTGCAAAGCAGTGATTTTGCAGCACGCGCTCCCCTCTTAAAAATGCCCGCAATTATTCTGCCAAGCAGGGCCTTTTGTCTCCTTCTCTTCCTGTAATTGCGCCCATCTGGGGTCTTACCAAAGTCGGCGATCTTGGCGTTCTTGTTGGCATCGAGCAGGACATTCTCCGGCTTGAGGTCCCTGTGGACCACCATGTGCCTGTGACAGTAGTCCACAGCGGAGATGATCTGCTGGAACAGTCGGCGCGCCTCTGTGTCCTCCACCTGGAGGACAGGAGGAAAAACGAACAGGTTTAGACGGCAGCTTGAACGGGTGCGAAAACTGTGCAGAGCAGACTGTTCAGTCACCAGGTAACGCTCTGAAACACACTGTGAAGGTTCTATACTGACCGGAACCAGTTTAGCATCTCTCAGATTAATGTCCACCCCTAAAAGCTTTTTTAAGGGGTTTTGAATTAAAAGTTTAAAAACTCCATGATGACCTCATAACTGACCCACGTATACTTTGGTATGAAAATGAATAAACAATATGCTGAGCTTGGTTTTCTAAACAAGCCGCGGTGCATCAAGACCCATCAGCTCCATTTTGGTCTTGCTGTTTTGTTCAGATCCAGCTTTGTAAACCTACTTGTTCAGTCTTTAACATGCTTAATGAGCTCTGCAGATTTTGTGGTATCTCTTGGGCTTTTTGAGAAATGTAGGGTCTTGACATTGAGGGGGACTTTTGAATCTTCCGTCTCTGTGAGGACAGCCTGTAACGTTTGCAGAATGACGGACAGGGACGGTCACTTAAAAAAAAATAAAAGTCTTACCCGTCCATTTTTGCAGATGTAGTCAAACAGCTCCCCTCCTGAAACATACTCCATAACCATGAAGAAGTCTGTCGGAGTGCTTATCACCTGGTACCTAGAGCAGCAACAACACACAGTTGCTGTTACATTAACTTTATTGGCCTACTTCACAATGTATCCTTCCTGTTTACTTTTGAATCATATCCAAGCCTGTAAACCTATTTGATTAACACGAACACACGCTCAACAGGAGTAAACACAGACACAGGCAGCGCTGGGTCGACTGATAAGTAATCCTTTCATAAAAGGTCAGGTAACCCAATCTCATAAATGGTTGCTTGCAGGAGAAATTCCTTTAGGGGAGAGAAACAAACCAAACCAGAATCCATCCTATTTCCTTTCCAGCATGCACGCATATGAGGGTAAAATCTTAAAATTCTATCCGGCACCAGCATTTACGGTGGTTTACATTTCAAACAGAGTTCCACAGCACTCCAGCACGTGACGCCAGAGCTCGCATATCTGCCAGCACTTACAGTGGAAGAGTAGGGGCTAACCCTAGCCATGTCCTAAAAATAACACCAGATTGTTGACAGAGACAAAAAAGAATGAACTGACAGGGAGAAAGAGGCCATGGAGACATAAGACAGAAGACATGCTGAAAGGAAAACATAAGAGAAACCAGGACACCTGACAAGGATAAGGATTTAGCCGTGCAGGATTTAAAGCAGCCTCTTTCATCTTAACTAGAGATTTGTACTGACCAGAAAAACTGATTTCTTTATCTAAATGAGATTGTGCTTTAATACATTCATATTTTCTAGGTGATAGGTGGCTTCTTAGCTTGCTCAGTAAAGAGTAGCAGGGATAAACAAACAGGTACAAGTTAAATATGCCACCATAAACAAGGAGGATAGCACATCAAAAGGCCTTCATCCCCACAACAGAGCCCTGTCCTCTATCTGTGGAGTCTATCAGCGCAGAGAGCCTGAAATCTGATGGACGGGTGTGTTGTCTTCCTCCACTTACAACTTGATGATGTGCGGATGCCTGAACAGTTTGAGATTCTGGATCTCTCGTTTGATCTTTCCAACAACATCAAGACTGCGGATCTTCTGTCTGTTCAGGATCTTCACAGCCACTTTGTGGCCAGTCAACTGATGCTCACCGACTAAAAAACAACAAAACACAGGCATGAAGGACGCGCACCAGACAGATGGGTTTCAGGAAAACACACAGAGCCGGGTGCACAGGCCGTGGCGTGGGCGATGAGCTACGGGGTTAAAAGGTTAGATTATGAGACCTGTTGTATGGAAGACGTCGACACGACAGAAGAGTGTTTTGTTAGGCTCTACTGATGCCCCCATCTTCTCGCCCTGTCTTTGTTTGTTGTGTTTTCAAGGGCTTGTAAAGCTTTAGGCTAGCTATGTATATTCTACACAAACCGGAGACGTAAAATGCAGCTAACTGTTATTCTATAAGGTGGGACAAAACGCTGGGGCACAAAATAAGCCCAAAATGAACATTTTGTCGCCTCCTGGGAGTGGATGTGAGTGTGTGGTTGTTTGTCTCTGTGTGACCCTACTATGGATGGACGGGGGACCTGTCCAGGGTGTTCCCCGCCGCCTTTCGCCTACTGTCAGCGGGGATAGGCTGCAGCAACCCCCGCCAACCCGTTGGGAATAAGCGGTACAGAAAACGGATGGATGAATTATCTTTTTTTTTTCGTTTTTCTATCTAATAATATAGTTCTATCATTATTTTGAGAGAGATTTCTATGTTCACTCACAGTAATTTTCTAACAAATTAAATGACATGCCAATGTAAATCATAATCATGTCGGGTCGTTTAAAAATGTAACCGTTAACGAGTTGGTTCTCTCCTGAGAACACCACGAACTCAGCACACAAGCGGGGCGAAGGAGCTTGCAAGGTCAAGCCGAGAGCCCGCAGAACTAGCTAAGAAAACTCAAGTAATAGAAGATTAACCGTTCATTTTCTAATTTGTTATTATTTTTGTGTCGCCTGTAGTGAGTTGGGAGACATTCGAACAAGCTATTAGCGGCGACGTTATTAGTCTGACTAGCAACGCCGCTCCGTTCATGTCCGTTAAGAACATCGGACTCATACGGTGGGTTTCGGTCGAACTGGAAGCTTCAGACGTCCTCTCGCGCATGACAGGGCAAAAAAACTTAAAAAAAAAAAAAAAAAACGATAGTTTACAGCAATAGCTGATAAACACAGTAAGCTAATAATGCGAGTGTGAGTTAGCATCTCTGGTGAGCTCCAGGTAATCGCACCTGCTACATGAAATAACTAGCCAGAGAACGGGGCTTCGGTGGAAGAATTTGACTTTGAAGAGGCCAGATTCTCAGAACGCCGTTACGCCCCAACTTCGGCGTAAGTCTGCCCGCAAACCGCCGGCCTACGCAGACTGCGTACTGTCAAGTTCTCCACGGCGCGTCGAGTGGAGAGGCACGGCAAACGACTTCACACGAACTACGCGGACCGACAAGCCGCAAACGCACATATCAAGCTCGGCGTGACACAAAAGCGTGACTTAACTCTTCACTTTCCCGAACGTCCCCACTCCGAGCGTGTCGCCGAGGATGTAGTGGCCAATCTTTACCCTGCCTTCGTGTTTCTGTTGTTGCCGCTCAGCCATCTTCTCCGTTACCGACGGCTCGCTCGCTCGTCGGTGCGGTGGGGTGTGCTGCTGCCTGCCTGCCTGCGGGGCACGCGGGGGGGGGCGGGGCGCTACACTGCCCCGGCCCGCCGCCGACCACTTACGAGCTCCACCGAAAGACAGGTGGCATCGGCTTAAAGACGTGCAAAAGTGTGTAGAACACCTGGGTAACAGCCCCCGTTATACGCTCAACCATCCAGAGTGCGCAAACAACTGCGGGTTAATGCAGAGTTCCGCTGCTTCGTCCAATGGGCTACTTGTCACCGAAAGACAACTGCACGGGCAGGTGTGCCAAAGTCTGTCGGTGAGGAAATCAAACATCCCAAATCATTTGCACTCTCCCCATGCTCTCCTTATGGCTTATATTTATTTCTGAGTTTATCCATTTCACCACATACCACTTTATATTAATCCACTGCCTCGACAAAATATCAAATATGAGAGAGAATCACATAAACGCTCTCTGAATCTGAACTTTCCTGCCAGAATCCCTCTGATTGGACCGGCTTGTTCCGCATATAACGCTGAATAAAAAGGCTAGAATAAGAAAATGTGCTGTTTAGCCTACTCTCTGAGTAGTCAGAGTAGCAGGAGTAGTGGGAGAGGTTTTTCTTTGAGGGGAATATGTTTGTAGTGACCGGACAGACCATATCTGACCACTGGATGGCAGCACTGCTTTGATTAAACTTGGCCTTTACGCTTTCTCTCAAGGCTGTTGCGTGCCAAAACGCCAAAAGCCATCAACGAATGATTAGGCCTATATACTATTTATTTCTGATAAAATTACTGAGGAGATTCATTTTGCTTTCCTTGAGATCAAATAGAGAAACTCCTCCGTAAAATTACCGTTTCAAAACGAGTTCGGCTTATAGAATAAATTCGTGTTTTATCTGGACCAAAAAGGAGAGAAAAATCTATGAACCATTTAAACTTTCCTCACATTGTGGTTGAACGTGTTTGATATTTCAATCAACAACCCCAAAAACACTAAGGGCTGAGAAAAACTTAGCATGTGGCTGTTTTTTTTTCTTCTGTGGATCCAAAGTGCGTGTGTCGTGCCGTTTGGGGCCACTGGGGGCTGAGTTTCCCCCTCCACACAGTACACACGCTCCACTGGTGTTCGATCTGTGAAAGTTTTCCAAACTGGCTGAGAGGGAAATGCTGTAGGAGCCTGGAGAGGGAAGGAGGAGGAGGAGGCGGAGAAGACGGATTGATATAGAGCGGTTCTTCTCTGTGCGCTGCGCTATTCTCATCCACTCCCACTGCTGGAACCCAGACCCACAACGAGGAGCGGGGCTTTCCTCCGATTCACCGAGAAGTTTTTCTCCCCTTTGAGTTCGTTGCGGGGGTTCAGTTCAGAACTGATAGTGAGATCGCTTCGAAGGTTTCAGTTTTTTATTTGATCGTTTGGCTGTTGGACGATAGAGCGAGTCCATCAGCAGGTCCGAAACTCCGAACCGGGACGCTTCTTTTTCACAGACTTTTCAGCCTGACAAGAGTTTTGTTCTCCACCTACCGCTTTGGTGAGGGATTTTCGTGCTGAAAACGGGGGAGTTCTCAAATGCAAAACTACATTTATGAGAAAGCAATGGCACAAGAGACAAGGAACGGAGGCACCTCTACACTGAACAACAACAATGGTGTTGACAACTGTAAAAAGAAGCTGCTTATTGGACTCGACGTCTTCTGTCTCCTTCTTGGTGAGTTTACAGGGACGATCTTTGATTTTCATGTCATTTTCATACCTATCTCACGCCAGTTCTCACGCACCACATACAGAAATATCGCACACTTTGCGTACTGTGTTCAGACTGAAACATGGAACAGAAGATAAAGGAGCGCTGCCCGCGCCTTTTTGATGGCTTGCAATAAAAAAAAGCCTTATCGCCTTTTGGGGGTTTTGCCAGCTGTCTGTAACCGTTAGAGAACTTAACATGTTGCATCCCCTTATCATCCACTCCCAACATGCTCCAGCGCGTGCAGGCGCACGGAACAGCGAAACCACGCCGCGTTTTTTTGGGCTTTTCTGTCTAAAAACGCACGCCCAAACCTTATTTCAATCAAATGCTCAAAACCTCCGTAACTATGCCATAGATGTGATTCTAAATCAGTCCAAGGTGAAGCCACATACTTTATTTTCGGACTGACAGGTGTTTAGTTTATCTGAGTGAGTGAGTAAGAACAAATTAGTTGTCACCACCTAATATATTGATCATTTCAAAGTCCACAAAGTGTCAGTGGGGCTGATCAGTGGCTCCTTCTGCTGCCTGCCGAAATGCCTGGGGCACAAATGTTTAGAAGTCTTGTAACCTGCCCCTTTACTGCCCTTAAAAATAGCCGATGACCCCCTCTCCAGTGCCCCCGTAACCCCTGTTCGTGTGACCCCTGGACTCCAAAGGTGCCCCCCCGGTATCCTGTCTATATGCTGGGATGAAAGACGTCTGGAAGTGAAAATGTTGGTGCTGTCTGTGCTGATTTACTGTTGGAGGACCGTCACCGAGGCGGAGGCAAAGCCGGTGGCCTCTGCTTGTTTGTGACAAGTTTGTGAGCCTGTCCTAACTTATAATTCTGCGAGCGTCCTGTCCAGATTCAGTGAGCGGTGTTTGTGTGCTGCTTTGATTGCCGGTTTGCTTTTGGCCGCTGTCACTGTTGCCCAGTTCTTTTAGAGTCCAGCTATAGTGGAGCCCCCCCCCCCTCCCCCCCCCCCCCTTCTTTTCTCCCCATTTTCAATCCCCCCCGTCTCTCCTTTCTCTTTTTTAGAAGGGGATTATGTGAGCTGTGCCCTTACTTCCACACATTCTCTCCCAGAACCCAGCAAATCCCTGGCCAGCTGCCCCTGATCACTCCACTTGGAAGTGCTTTCTCTTCTTTCAGCCCTCCTTCTCTCCCTCTCTCTCTCCGTCCAGGAGAGTGTGTGGAATAATGGCTTGAGCATGTGCTGCGGCAGGGGATCGCTTCTCCCATCAAGCAAGTGGGGACCGGTGGCTGACCGGGCCTTAGAGGAGCAGGTGGGAGTCCCACCGACGGCTCTGAGAATGTAGAGCCCCCAAACCTTTCAGAAGTTAATGAGGGAACATGTGCCATGGCTGCACGGGAGCCTGCTTTTATTAGCCAGACTGTTGCAAACGGCGCAGGCCGACTCCACGTTCTCTTTAATGTCGTGAATTTTTGGAAGCAGATCTGCCTGACAGATGCAGCGTTTTCCAAAGGGAACGGGGTCGGTTTAGCCTGTTAAAGAGCCCCAGACAGAGATGCACTGTGTAAATGTCAACGAGCTTTGAGCCCATGTGGAGTGAATTTCCTCCGAAAGCCAACTTCCTCCGCTTGTATATCTGCGTGTTATGTCACACACATGTTTGCCCCGTAAACACTCCCAACCCGTGTAAATATGCAGTGGCAAAATGGGCGCACAGATTTCTCTTTTGTCATGCTAAACACAGTCTGCTCACAGATTACTGGTTGGCCCACTTCAGCAGTTTGTGGGGTAAGTGGGTATAGGGTTAGTGTGGGTGTGTGTGTGTGTGTGTGTGTGTGTGTGTGTGTGTGTGTGTGTGTGTGTGTGTGTGGGTGGGTGTGGGGGGGCTATCAGCACTGCCTGGATGAAGAAGGAGGAATGCGGGTGTGTAGGGGGGGGACTCAGAAGAAGGCTTGATGTGGAATGGCTTTTGTTCTGCGCGTCATAAAAGGTGGTGCTCACTCTTCTGTGAGCCCACGCATAAATATCTCGTTAAGTTTAATTAGATCATATCTGCCAGCTGCCGTTCCATTCACACACACACACACACACACACAGACACACACAAATGCAAAATCTTTGTGTTGACATGTTAAAATAGAGTAAGCCCAGTAAATCCATTAAAACGTCTCCAAACTCCTGATCGAAGGCGCACGGTTCTGGCAGCCGCGCGCACGCGTCGCGCGTGGATTTCCCCTCCACCGGAGTTTTGGTCTGTCAGACCAGCGCGGGCGGTTCGGTGACGGTGTGAGGAGCGCGCGCACAGACACTATACAGTCGCTATAAATACGCAAAGTGGGCCGCAGACTGCAGTTTCGTTCGTTCGGCTTTTCCTGGCGACGCGCTGCCCAGTGGGCCTCAGACGTCTAGTTTTAAAAACGATGTTTATTGTGAAAACACGGTGAGGCTGCAGCCTCCACAGCTCTCAGGGAAAGTATACTTCTAAATGCGGCTTCTCCTAAACTCTGATTACGTTTTTACGCAATGCAAAGGGAAAGGAAGCATTGCGCGTTCGCCTGTGTGCAGACATGGTTTGCAAACTGTTTGGAGCCACAGATGCATTTATTTATTTATTTTTACAAAAGGGGGGAAACAAGAGCTGTCCATGATTGCCAGTCAGAGTTGGTGGTTGCTTTCAAAGCCAGTGCCTCTAAGGTTTATGGGCAGCCTCTTTCCATAAGCATGACACAATTCTGTCGATAAGACTGTTGATAAGAACCCCAGAGGACTCGGGCCATTGAGGATCAGCACCATCCGTCCATTGCCGGCTCTTAGCGGCCTCATTAAGGCTGGAGAGATTTGACCTCTGCCTCTCCGGGTCCTGACCACTTCAAGCCGGAGCCGCTCCGCAAAATATTTCCCCTCGTTTCTCAATTCCTCCTCTGGCCACAGACTCTTGATGGAGCATCTGGTGCAACTGGGACTGAGTGAGCCAAGGGGCGCGCAGAGTGTGTTAGAATGTGTGTGTGTGTTCATGTGTGTGTGCGTGTGTATCAAGGAGCTCAGGAAAGGGTGGGAAACGGAAAGGTAGGGTCTGTCGGAGGTAGGTGTGGTTGTGAAATGAAATCCTGTCTTTTTTTCCTTTTTTTCTTTTGCTCTCACAGTCAGTTTCCACCGTCACCTCCCCTCCTTCCTTTCTGCTCCCTCTCCACTTATTTCAGGGTTTCCTCATCTTAAGTGGTAAGGCAGGCTGATAGGTAAGGGAAAGACCTGAGGTTATATCATACTACAGTATCAGGGTGGCATAATGAACATAGTTTACACTTTTACTTTGGCTAATTGCAGCAAAGGAATCTCGTTTGCCTTGGAGCAGGGTTCACTTTGAGAGAAAAGCGCTATTTGTGTCTACAAAGTGTAATCAAATAGCAGGTGGGAGGTCCCCGCACGC